GGTTAAAGACCCGAAACTTCTGCACACGTGGCACTGCACTAATCCACGCACTAATCAAAATGGAACTCCCGCTTGAGACTCCCTCGGCATGAACGACCACAAGCCGAAACCTGTGCCAGGGTGACACGTATGGGCGAGGCTGTACTTCCCCGAAAGGGCGATCTCGCTAGACACCTTGCTAAACTGCATCGTCATCGTGTTTGGCTTTCCGAATTCCGCACCAGAAGGATGGAACTAAAGGTAATTCCTGCTCAAAGCGGGGCCCTCGCAAAAATTACAGGCCCAATTGCGGTTGCAGTTCGAGGGCAGCGCTTCCTGTAGTGATAGATAATACTTGTAGGGACCTATGAGGGGACTTGGGACGACGGGAATGTGCTGCAGCGTCGCTGACGCATATCGGATGTATCGTCCTCCTCTCCATCCTCCTGGTCCTCTCCCCCCTCCGTGGTGAATTTCCCCGTCCTCCAAGTGAGTGAGGGCGGAGGAGGAGGAATTGGAGGTGGAGGAAGCCGGAGGAAGAGGAAGGGAGGAGGGAGAAATCATCATCATCATCATCATCATCAGCATCATCATCATCATCATCGTCATCATCATCATCATCATCATCATCATCATCACCATCATCATCATCATCATCATCATCATCATCATCAGTATCATCAGCATGGTCATCATCATCATGATCATCATCATCACCACCATTCAGCAGCAGCAACAACATCATCACCATCATCGTCATCAGCATAATCGGAATCATCAGCACCATCATCATCGTTCCTCCAGGCTCATCTTGCATTCGATGGTGGCCGATAATTGCTGCTGGGAGTATTCTTCGGTGAGCTCCCCTTCGACCGGGGCCGGCAACCGACAGCACTGTCAGTTCAAATGCGGCACATACTTGGCTTCACCAGTTGTGCTCAGTTCTGGAATCGTTGGGCGATCTCTTGGAATAGTGGGGCGATTGTCGATGCTGCCGCACGTCCGCTCTTGCTGATCACAAATGGGAGAGTGGAAGGATGACTGTGTGGATGTGGGGATCTTGGCATCGCGGTCGGTGTGTAGCCATTCCTCTCCCAGTAGTGGCCCTCCTCTTTCCCTCGGAGTGTCGAATGTGTCAAGGTTTGCGCACGCATCTGGCACACATCAAAACTCGAGGCCTCGGCACTCTGGAGTACTACCGTACTGCGAGAAACCGTTGAGACACGTGCAATGCAATCTTCCCGTCTCGTCGTCAGGCGCAGCATCATCTTCAAAAGAGATTGGCATGCAGCCCGCTATGTTGCGGGCATGGTTTGGAAAAGGGGAGCATGCTGCATCCGCCTCTGGTGGTCGAACGTTCGCTTTCCTGCATGGTGTGCCATCCTCCTCTGCGTCATTAAGATTCGCAGAGGCTCGAGCGACACTTTCAAGTCATGCCGTTGACCGAGCTTCCTGTTGCTCTGTGTGATTGCAGATTGCCCCACTAGAGGAGCAACAAACGGCATACACATAATTTCTCGGAGGTCGGCATCGGCGCTAGACACCCTCCCTCGCGTGGGGAGCGCGCCAGGGGCGGCGCCAGAGGCGACGCCAAGGGGGCCCAACGCCGATCCAAGAAATCCGCGCGGACCTCTAGTGTGTGTGCTGTGATTTGTTCTCCGATTTACCATTTCCGTGAGGTGCGCGCCATGACTCGCATCCGCCTCATGCTTGCCGCGCAGCTGGCGACGTGGCCCCGATTGGCCTCGCGCTCCTGGCCGAGGGCACGTTTGCGTGGGAGGGCGGGCTTGCCGTCGGTCGGACGTCCATGTCCCGTGCATGTTTCGGTTTCGCGCATGTTTGATTTTCCTCGATGGTCCAGGATGGTCCTCGTGGTTTCTCGCCGAGCAAAAAATGCACACGTCCAAGCGATGCCAGGCGGGGCGCGGGGGCACGACGGCGACAGAGGGCCGTCGCACGGGAGCCGCCGCGCGGGAGCGGGCCCGCGGAGCGGGCTCGGCCACGGAGGCTCCGTTAGGGGAGCAGGAAGCTGCAGGGGCAGAAATCGTTGGGGGGTCCAAGCGGACGTCGTGGGTCCGCGCTGGGCCCCCGCCCCCCCGTGGCGCGCGGGGCGCGCTGGAGGCGGCGCCGGAGGCGCCGCCAGGGGGGGGGGGGCTCCAGCCCCCATCCAAGAGCTGGTGGAGATGCTCGCAAAGCTGCGCACGAGGGATGCTCAAGGCTTCTGCTTCCTTGTGCTGCAGGGTTGCCATCGCGAGTGCTGCGCACACGAATACGAGTGCCGAGATCAAAGATCGTGCGGATCGCACTCGTAGCCACTCTGGCCGTGACAAAGGTGCTCTGGGACCGTTGGCGTTCAATGAGCTCTTGCTAAAAATCAGCACGGCAGCAATTGCTCCCAGCAAAGAAATAATCAACGAACTCACCAGGTCGTAAACTCCTGCTTGCCCAGAGATGCAGACACACATTATCTGCACGAAGCTGAAGGATTCCCACGACAAGAAGCACATTGAGCTCTTTATCTGGCTTGCTCCTGCGAGGTACAGTTGAAAGCATGGCAGCCATGAAGGTACTGGGGCAGCGCACCTGACCAGCAAGGCCCTCGAAGGAAGCTCTTTGACTGGCGCCCGCAGGGATTCTTAGATCAACTCGAGGGCAAGAACCCTAGGCTGAGCCATGACTATATTACAGTGCTGGCTCCTGTGTCATTGGTTGCTCGCTTCTTGGTGCTGTCCGCTGCCGCTGCTGCTTGCCCTCGTCCCTGCCTCGTCTCTCTCTCTCTTTCTCTCGCTTTCCCTTCCCCTGCGCTCGTGCTTCTCTGTCCCTCTTGTTGCTCTTTGCCTGCTGTTGCTCGCCATTGCTTCCCACACGAGTGCATCTCGCATGGGTGGCCCAGAGCCGCCCCTGGCAGCGCCACGGCCGATGCTCGCTGGCGCGGATAGTGCGTTTTCGTATGACGGGCAGCGAGCCCACGGGGCAGATGCGAGGGAACGAAGGCGGCGGCATCCCCCCTCACTCGCGCCCTGGGCTCGCCGCCAGTGCGGGAACGATCCATCGTGGTGCACGTTCCGCTCGCCCGTTCGCTACACTACGAAGACACCGCAGACCGCAGGCCCACAAAGTCGCCGCAGGCGCTCTCAAGAGTCACCGCGGAGGCGCGTACACCATTGCCTGGACTCCATGCAGGGTGCGGCGACGGCGACGGAGGAAGGAGGGAGAAGAGGAGGAGGAGGAGGAGGAGGACTAGGGGGAGGAATGGGAAGAGTGGGAGGAGGCAAGGGGACGGGAGGAACGATGAAGGCGGAGAAGAGGAGGTGGACCAGTGCAAACCTAAGACGCAACGGCGATGTTGCAATAAACCATCCCTGCTAAGTTTCTCTTCATAAGCCCTTACTCGAAATGATGTTCATTGCGCGACGTGCCCCATTGAAAGGCAACCGTCTGAGGTTCCTCAACCGTGCCATCGCAACACCCTTGGGACTTTAACGCCGCGAATCGGACTGACACTCGTAACACGCCCCAGAACACCATTCCTCGGACTACACGGACCCGTGCAACTGCTGCAAACGCTTTAAGACGAATGCTCGCAGCGCCATTGCCAGAGCCACAGATTGAAAAGGAACCGCCCTCCATCCTTGAAACTGTCGCAACCATTGAAAACCAATATGCGCGGCGCCAAAGCGAGGGCCACAGCTTGAAAACCACCCACGCTACATCCTTGAGTCCACATGTGTGTGCCGCTGAGGCGAGAGCCAAGTGTTGAAAACCACCCGCCGTCCACCCTTGGAAGTATTACAAACGCGTAAGACGAATGCGCGCGGCGCTGAGGCGAGAGCCACATTTTGAAAACGGCTCCCTTCTCGAAACTGTTGCACTTCTCCAGCTGCAGGATCACAAATGGTGAGGAAGTCTGAAGCGAAACGCCAGGCCCGCCCTACAGACACGCCTGGGGGTGCGAGAGAAAGGCGTTGTCCATAAAAGAAAGGGATGGAGGAGGGGGAGAAGGAAAGAGGAGAAACGACGCAGGGCAGGACGAAGAGGATGATGATGATGCTTATGATGATTATGATGATGGTGCTGACGGATGGTGATGGTGATGGTGATGATTATGCTGATGATGGTGATGATGATGCTGATGATACTACTGATGATGGTGATGATGATGCTGATGTATTAGATGGCACTGCTGATGATAGTGATGATCATGCTGGTGCCAATGCTGATGCTGACGATGATGCTGATGCTGATGATGATGCAGGTGATGATGCTGTTGATGATGCCGAAGATGCTGATGGTGATGGTGGTGATGGTGCTGGTGATAATGATGATGGTGATTGTGATGGTGATGGTGGTAATGGTGATGAAGATGATGCTGATGATGATGATGGCGATGGTGGTGATGGTGGTGGTAATGGTGGTGGTGATGGTGGTGATCATGGTGATGGTGATGGTGATGATGGTGATGATGGTGACTGTTGCTGCTGATGATGTTGCTACTGATGATTATGATGCTGATGCTGACGATGATGCTGATGCTGATGCTGATGCTGATGCTGAGGATGACGATGACAATGATGCTGAGGATGGCGATGACAATGACAATGACAAAGACGATGATGATGATGATGATGATGATGATGATGATGATGATGATGATGATGATGATGATGATGATGATGATGATGATGATGATGATGATGAGCCGCCCACGGAGGCGATGGCCCAAATTACCCAGAGCCGGAAGACAGAACGACAACGGACCTCAAAGGAGAGTCCCCCGCGACGACTGCTCCCTCGGCTGGCGGTGTGCGGAGCACTTGCCAGCGCTCGGACGCCCATCTCCTGTGCGCGTTTTTCGGTCTCGTGCGTGATTTTTGTCTGCTCGATGGCCCAGGAGGGCCCCCGACGGTTCTGGCCGAGAGAAAACATGCACACGTCCGAGCAATGCTAGAGAGGAGGAGGGCGGGATAGGGGAGGAGGAGGACGACCGCGGTGCCCGACGTCCGAGCGCGCCAGCGCGGCGCCTGGTCGTCTCCCACCATGTCGCCTACGCACGCGCGGCGGCCCCGAACGCCTGGCGACCGGGGCGCTCGTCGTCCCCGGCGTCGTCTTCGACGTCTCGGGCGTCGTCGTCGGCGTCATCAGCGCCGTCAACGTCGTCAGCGTCGCCGTGGTGGCCTCGTCGCCGTCAGGTCATCCACGGCGTCGGCAAATCTCGTCGTAGCACTCGTCCCTCTCTCTTCCATCGTCGCCGGCGTCGTCGGATCGCAGATCCAGGATACTTGAATGTGTTGGCTCTTCTGGGCGTCCAGACGTCTGGAGACCTCTGCAGACCTCCGGGCGACGTCCGCTGTCGTCGTCGTCGTCGTCCTCGGTGGTACGACCATTCGCGCCCCCCGGCGCCGTCGTACGACCTCCAGGTCGGAGCTCGATGAGCCGAGCGCTCACTATTGAGGGGGCCCTGGGACACACAAACAAAAATACACACAAATAAAAAGATTTCCCATATTTTCCCATGTTTTCTGGGTTTCTGTCTTCCCCCCCACTTCCCATATGTTCGCATATTTTCTGGGAATCGACGAACATTTGTGTCTGTGTTGTTTCCCCTCCTGAATTATCCCCGACTCCGCCTGGCCGAGCCGGCGGCATGACGGGCCCTGGCCGTCGAGACGGGAGCAGCTCGCGGCAGCTCTGCCGGCCCCGACTCGGACGGATGGGACCCAGCTGAAATACGGAGGCATGGGCGGTCAACATGTAATCCGCATCTCTGCTCCCGCCCTGAATCTCCGATCGGATGGGGAGGGTGGCATAGAAGAACAAAGGCCTCGAGGCTCTAGGTGCCATGGCTTGCTGCACGCATGCCCGATCCTCCGGGTGCCCAGGGCGGGGGCCTCCGCGGGAGCAGAACACTGGTGGCCGAGGATCTCTTGTTCTCTCGCGTCGGGGACCTGTCTCAATGTGAGCGGGAGCCCCAGCGCTCCATCACATTGCCGCCCCCGGCGCGGCCCGAGAGCTGGGGCGCCGGCGAGCGAGCAGCTGCCAGCAGGCCCTTCAAAAGGCAGCTCCCCCGCGGCCAGAAGCACCTGCGCGGCACGGCGCGAGCGGCGGCGCACGCCGGACGCAGGCAGCCGGCCGCCCGAGGCAGGTGCGGACAGGGGGGCGCCACAGCCAGGCAGGCGCCGATCCTGGCTGTGGCAGTCCTGCGCCCCAGCTCGGCGGTTACGCCCTCCTGGCTGGGCCAGGAGATCACAGGCACCGATCTGGGGTCCCGGACATGCGCAGCAAGCCACCTGGTCTGGTCCTCCACCAGATCTCTCTGGATGCCTCCTCCCAGGGGGAGGACGCCTCCCGGAGACTTCCTCTGGTCTTCTACCAGACCTCCCGAGGAGGACCTCCCCCAAGGGATGAGAGGCCTCCCGGAGACCTCCCCTGGTCCTCGAGGTCTCTCGGGCGTCTCGGAGTCCAGAATCCAGAACAGAAGAGAAGGTCATGACGGCCCAGGATGGTTTCCAAGACGGCCACACACGACCCAAGACAGTCATAGATAGCCTCCCAGGTGGCCCAGCACGGTCCCAAAGAGCCTCCAGGCTAGCACAAGTTGGCTCCAAGACGGCCACAGGTGGCTCTAAGCTGGCCCGAGACCCCCATCCAGATCGCAATTACTGACGCCCGACATTTCGCCTCCCAGGCATTTCCACAAGGCAGGGGGCTGCGGTGATTCGCCAGAGGCGGCTTCGACAATCGACGCCCTCCGATCGTCGCCCGAGACATGTGGTAGCGTACATGCTGCCGCCCCTGCAGAGGGCTCCTGGGACTCGAGGGCCGTGCCTGACCACGCACCCCCTCGCCGGCGTGCAAAAGGAGCCACACCGAGGTCCCGGAGGCGGGGCACACGCCAGGCCACTCCGCAGGCGCGCAGGCCGCCTGCCCGTGGCAGGCCCCGTCCTTCAGGCCTTGATGTGCCTGAAGGGCCCGAGCCGCTCGTTGAGCGCCCTCACCACCCTCTTCACCTGGTCCCTGTCGGGCACCTTCGCCTTGGACTTCAGGAGGCCCGCTAGCAGCTCCAGCGAGTGCTTCACCGCCGCCTGCGCCATGACGTCCTGCACGCTGATGGGGGCGTACCTGTCAAGCCAAGTGGTCATGATCAGCTCGATCTCGTTGAGGAAGTACACGTTGTCCGCCTTGTGTAGCGAGTCCCCGCCCTTCCTCGGGACGACCCCGATGTCGATGCGGTTGAGCAGTGGCGTCTGGCGCTTTCCCTGCCACGAGGCTGTCTTGAGGACCTCCTGATAAGCCCTCTCCGCTAGCGCCTTGCACGCCGCCTTCCGCGGCCCGTCCGGCTCCGGGTAATCCTCCGCCCGTGCCTGCACGGAAGTGGAGTGCCAGGGTGCCTGCGAGAGAAACAGGTGGAGACATGACCAGCAGAGGCGGCCGAAGTACTTTGGGTCCCAGCCCGCCCCTGAAGAATGACAGCGAGAGGAAAGCCCTCCGATCGCTGGAGTACGAAGGTCTGGGAGGCCCGAAAATACCCGCTGCCCACAAGACGGCTGCAAGACTGCCCAGACCAGCCAAGAGAAGCCACCAAGATCGGCCAAGATGGCTCCCAGAAGGCCCCAGTACGGCCCCAAGACTGTCCGAGAAGACCCCCAGAGGGCCCCCAGACAGTCTCAACCCACACATCCGACCGCTCCAACTTTTTCGATGCGTGAGCCCTGGAGGTCTGGACCTCTTCCCCAGGGCCCGCTTTTCGTCCTATCGCCGAGCGCGCTCCATTACTCGCAAAGTGCCTACTCGCAAACGTCAGAAAAACACACGTCCGCTCTGATATAACGTATCGTAGATCCTCAGCGGAGTATCCAGGCCATTTGCGAATAGTTTTAAGTCGGGCGTGTCCCCCTACAGAGGGATCTTCGACGAAAAATTAAAAATACTCCAAAAATACTCCCAAATGGTCAGAAAACAACTCAGGAAATAGTCCCCGTTTACTATTCTTGAATATTCCCCCTGTAGAGGGACAGGCCCGACTTACGAGTAGTTCATTTGCGAATACTGGAACGCGCTCGTCGATCCTAAGCCGTTTATTTGGGGCAGCCCCGCGGGTGGGCGAGGGCCCCCCTGGAGGCCGACAACGACCACAAACCCACCGCTCCGATCCTCGTCGGAGCGCCGGACCTCTGGGGAGGACCCCCAGACAGCCTCGATGGGGCTCCAAGGAAATAGGAGGCAACTACTGGGAGGCATTCGTCGGAAAGATTAAAGATAATTAAGCCTCAATAAGGGGCTGTTAAGCCAGAGTGGGCCTCGGATCAAGCGGGAGCAAGCCGGATTTTGCGGGATTCAGCGGGAGTAAGCCGGATCAGGCGGGATTCAGCGGAATTAAGCCGGATTAAACAGGATTTCGGACCAGGGCTAGATTTAAGTCGGGCCTGTCCCCCTTCAGGGGCATTCTTGACGAAAAATAGAAAATACCTCCAAAATACCCCAAAAAGGTCAAAAAATACTCCAAAAATAGTCCCCATACTATTTTTGGACTATGTTTGGACTATTCTTTTACTATTTTGGGGGTATTTTTCATCTTTCGTCGAAATCCCCCTGTGGGGGACAGGCCCGACTTAAGGCTAGATCAGAATTGGACCCCCCAGGAGTTGCATCCGAACAGAAGGCCCCAAGACCCGCCCAGATGTCCCCAGGATTGAAGGAGCCCTGGGACAAACAAATAAATACATACAAATAAAAGGATTGCCCATATTTTCCCAGATGTTCTGGGTTTCTGTCTTCCCCCCACTTCCTATATTTTCCTATATTTTCCTGGGAGTCGACGAAAAATTGTGTCTGTGTGTGGCTATACCAGGCCTCGGGAGGCGCCGAGGCCCTCAGAAAGGCCCCAGCAGCCCCACCGGGCCACCCGCAGGCCCCCGAGAGGCCCCCCAAAAAAGGCCCAGAGAGGCCCTCGAGAGGGGGGGGAGGAGGACGGGGGAGCAGGAGGGAGGAGGGAGGAGGAGGAGAGGAGGAGGAGGAGGAGGAGGAGGAGGAGGAGGAGGAGGAGGAGGGAGGAGGAGGAGGAGGAGGAGGAGGGAGGAGGGGGAGGAGGAGGAGGAGGAGGAGGAGGAAGAGGAGGAGGAGGAGGGAGAGGAGGAGGAGGAGGAGGGAGGAGGAGGAGGGAGGAGGGAGGAGGGAGGAGGGGAGGAGGGAGGAGGGGGAGGAGGAGGAGGAGGAGAGAGGAGGAGGAGGAGGGAGGAGGAGGAGGAGGGGGAGGAGGAGGAGGAGGAGGAGGAGGAGGAGGAGGAGGAGGAGGAGGAGGAGGAGGAGGAGGAGGAGGAGGAGGAGGAGGGAGGAGGAGGAGGAGGAGGGAGGAGGAGGAGAATGAGAGCCAGCCAGGCACGCGCCAGATCAGGCAGGGCGCCGCAGGGGATCCGGCCCCAAACTCCACCTCCCGCCGCCGCGCTGCTCCGGCGGCGGCAGGGCGGCGGGGCGTGCCGCAGGCCCCCAGATAACCCGCATCGGAGCCGTCGGTGCCGTGGGTGAAGATGGAATACCTACATCTGGCCATCGCTCGGACGTCCATTCCCTGTGCTTTTTTCGGCTTCGTGCGTGTTTTTTTCGCCAAATGATCAAGGATGCTCCTCGATGGTCCTCGCCGAAGGAAAAATGCACACGTCCGAACGATGCCAAGACATGGCATGGGAGGCTGGGGTTATCCATATCCGTGAGGAGGAGGAAGCACGAAAACATAAGAAATAGACTGCTGGCGCGCCGCGCGAACTTCTGGGATCTGCGCCGGAATCCCCGGGGCGGCGCCGGAGACGCCGCCGGGAGGGGGGGGGCCAGCGCGGACCCAAGAAATCCGCGCGGAGCGCCAAAAGTTTACGTTTACGCGTTTTTTCTCTTCGGATGTCTTCCGCCTGTGGAGGTCCAAAAAGATCGATCCCCCAAGCGGTGGTTATGCACAAATCCCCGCCTCGGACTGCAGGCCTCCCAGATGGGGTCAGGGTAGATGGGGTCGGAGAATCGCGCCACGTCATCGACGAATTACTGATGCATCGGCGATACATCGGCGAAGCCGGCGATGCATCGGCGACGCCGGTGGAAGAAGTCGGGCTTCACATCGAGACGCATCGCCCGGCGATGCGGCGCGCTCCTCCGACCCACATACTCGGACCCAATCTCAGAGGCCTAGGGTACCGCCACTCCCCGTCAATGAAGAAGTTGCGCACCTCGTCGAAGACCTCGCCGTTGGGCTTCAGCGTGTACGGCTGGAGCAGGAACGTCTTGGCGCTCTTGTTCGCCTTCGCGTACGCCTCGAGGTCCTTGAAGCGGGGCCCGAGGAAATCGGCGGTCTTCCCGTTGATGGCGCCCTCGCCGAAGAAGGAGAAGTGTCCCACCTTGCAGAAGAACTTGTCCCAACCCTTCTTCTGCACGTCCTTCAGACACTGCTTCGGGTCGAAGCCTTCGGTGTACACCACGGTGGGGATCAGCGGAATGCCGGCTTTTCTGCACTGCTCCATGTACCGAGGCTTGCACAAGACCCAGTCGTAGTAGTCCCAGCTCGGGTCCAAACGGCACTCGGGGTTCTTGTGGCACTTCATGACGTCGTCGACGTGGCGCTTGCCTTTCCCGCTCATGATCGCGACACCGACGTCGTACCAGAAATTGAGGTTGAGGTGGTTCTTCTTCAAGCGCTCCTCCTTGACCTCCCTGCCAGGGATGATATCGATCTCGAGGAGGTCGGGGTGAAGCTGTCCCATCTTCAACGCCGTGGCGACATCGACCGAGTACTTGCCCCAGTCGTCGTTGGTGAGAACATACTTTTGGGGGTAATCTGGCGACTGGGTACCCTTCTTTACCGGGTCGAAGTCCTTGCCGACCAATATGCCGATGCGGATTTTTTGCGTGGCAGCGGCGCGCTTGACCACGCCCTTGGCTTTCAGCACGCTGCTCGTGGATTTCTTCGCCTTCATGGCGACCATCGCTGAGCCGCGCGTGTGGGGGTGCCAGAAACCTACCTCAAGACAATGTGGCTACAGAAGAGGCTCTGATGGAGTTCCTCACTGTGAAAGTACAGTCGGCCTCGATTGGCCAGGACACGCGAGAGGACACAAAACCCTTCCGACTCGGCGTTGACATGACTGATGCGGGCCATTCACAAGCAGCGAGGCTTACTACCTTAGTGCAACCCTGCTGCAGACCACGTTGCCAAGCCTGCCCACTTACCTTGCGATGCGCAATTGGTATCTAAAACGACTGGAAGCTAGCTAGATTACAAGTGCATGGAAACTACAAGACTCACCGCCTGCCTGGACAGACGAAATTGTTAAGAAGCGGGATCGCATGCACCACTTTCATCGCCACACCAGCGGAGGGGGAATGTTTTTCGGGAGATGGCAGCAGCTGCTAGGCGGTGGTGGTTGTGGTGCTGCTGGCAGCGGCGGAAACAGCAGCTCACAGTGCAGGTTGCGGCAGCAGTCGGTGGCGGCGGTGTCAGCGCGCCAAAGGTCTCTGGAGGCCCCCTGGAGACTCCCCGGTGCGCAACAAGAGCCGAAACCTCGAGCACCAACATTCGAAGAGGAGGATCATCGCCATGGCCCCTGTCGGGGGACGTCAACTGTCCACCTCGCCATCCTGGCCGGGCGGGCCCCGAGTCGAGGGCGCCCCACTTCGCGCTGCGCGCGAAGCGCGGAGCGCGAGGCGCGAAGCGCGAACGACTTCGCGCTCTCGAAGGCGCCCCCCGAGGGACTCCGCGCTCTCGCGCGCCGCCCCCCAGGGGAGAAGAGAAGGAGGAGGACGAATCGGCGGTGGACAAACCTCCCTTTCGTAGACCTCCCCTTAGTGAAAACGGCCTGGGACCGAAACCGACGGACCTGGACCCGCCAAAATGACGGCCGCGACGCGCCCTCTCGCGAACCGAGAACGACCAATTCCTGAATCGAGCCCCGAAAAAATCGCAGCCGACCCGGAAGCGCGAAGAACTCCGCGCTCTCGAAGCTGGGCATCGCTCGGACGTCCATTCCCTGTGTTTTTTGTCGGTTTCGCGCGTGGCGTTATCGCCAAAGGATCAAGGATGCTCCTCGATGGTCCTCGCCGGAGGAAAAATGCACACGTCCGAGCGATGCCAAGCGAAGGCGCCCTTTTGAGTCCTGCGCCGCCTCGGGCTCTCACCTCCGAGGGGTCCCGGGGGGGGGGGGCCCGACCGCGACACCCGAGCGACGGAATGCAGAAATCTCCCACGCCAGGGCTGCAAGACCAGACCCTAGAGTCGGGTCGCTGACTTCAGGAACCCCAAAGTAAGGAAGGAGGCCCCTTCTTTCCATGGGTCGACTTCGACTTCCCCTCGAGACTCGGAGGAAAACCTGAGGCAAAGCGTGAAGCCATCGAGGAACACGGAGCCCCTCCCCAACGAAGAGGGCTCCTTCTGCAGCACCCCGACTGTGCGGGGGAACCAAAAAAGCAATGAACATCACAATCTCGGAGGCCCGCGCGGACTCCTCGGCTCGGCGCTGGGGAGCCCTGGGGGCGTCTCCAGCGCCGCGCCTGGGCGCGCCCCGCTCCGCTCGCCAGGGCGGGGGGTCCAGCGCCGAGCCGAGAGATCCGCGCGGGCCTCCGAGCTGTACAGCAGGGGCCCGACCACAGGAAACCTCCCACGAGAAACCCAACCCTGAGACCCCAGGACGTCCACTGATTTTTGGGCGTGGGGACGTCACGCCTTCCATCGCAAGAGCATCGAACCCCAGGAAACCCGGGGCACCCCGGAGGCAAGCAGGGTGCTTCTTGCCATGGCTCTCCACTTTATGTCCATGTCATTGTTCGCTCCCCGAGATCCCCCCGCGCGCTCTGGGCAGCACGGCCCCGCCCGCCTCGCGCATCCGGCCACGCGCGGCGCGCTCGCGAGGGCCGGCGGGCAGGCAGTGCCGAGGGGGGAGCGGCCGCAGGAAGGAACTACCGTGGGGGCGCGCATCACCAAACCACATGCTCTTCGTCAGGCATCCCGGGTTTCTTCGCTCCTCGCGCTGCGCGGTGACTTCCCGCAGCCGTTGAAGGAGCTGCTGCGTTCAGGGTGCTCCGGGTTTCCCCTCGGGTGCACCTCGCGCACGGGTTCTCAGGGTTGGGTTTCTCGCGAGGGCTTCTTGCGGCCGCGCCCGCACTGTACCCACCAGGCCACCCCCACCCAACCCGAAGTAGCCGTTGGGCCTGCCGACGTCCGTAGAGGGGCCCCAGGACACACAAATAAATACACACAAATAAAAATATCCCCCATATTTTCGCATATTTTCTGGGTGTGTGTCTTCCCCCCCACTTCCCATATTTTCCTATATGTTCTGGGGGATCGACGATTAATTGTGTCTGTGTGTTTTTTTCCCTCCTAATTCCGGTGGGGGGATGTTCTGGAACCTCGAGGAACACCATATGGAGCCGCTGCATCCCCCGACCCGCAACTTGGGGGGGTCTGGGACCTTCGGGTTGGGTCGGGGTGGTGTGGTAAGCATGGAGGGGCCCATGGACACGCCAATAATAATGCGGGGTGACGAATAATAAAAAATGGGGGAGAACGACTAAAAAAATAGTTTCCTGCTATTTCTGCAGAATTTTCTGACTGGAGGAGAACGATCTAGAAAAATAGTTTACCAGTCCGCGGCCGGTTTTTTCTAATCGTCATCCCGGGCGCCGCCGCGTGAACACGACCCCCGGTCATTTATTAATCGTCATCCTCCAGTATGTACACCCAAATACCAGAATCCCTTATCCTGGTCTACTTAGTTTGTTGATGTTCGTCTTACTCCCCCATTTCCAATGCTGTCCCACATTATTCTTGGAACTGACGATTGTTTGTGTCTGGGTGCTTGTCCCTCCTGAAAGAGGTGAGGGAAGTCGCCGTCTCCTCCAGGAGGAGGCCCAAAAAACCACAGCAACTCCCCGAGGAGGCGGCCCCCCCACCTGCTAGAGCGTGAAAAACGCCAGAGCAAATCCTCGACAGAGGCTTTGCGAGGCGGAGATTTATCCGTATCCACCGCCTGGGAACCGACGTCCTGGTGCCCCAGCGGGCGTTGGATAGGGACATATTTTGACCCCAGGGGCTCGAATGTATCCATATCCACCGCCTGCCGGAAACCCCGAAAATTGATCCTCCGGGCGGTGGTCACGTATGAACTCCCGCCCCGGATTCCTCGATCCTCGAGACTCGAAGCTCAGGAGGAGCCCGCGACCACGCCCATGGTGGCGTCGGGTCGGACGAAAGGGGGAGGTGGCAGAGGATCTAGCGACTCGGCTCGCGTCACGCAGCTGGCTCGCCTGGTCCCTCCTGGCGCCGGAGGCGCCAGTGTCTCGAGGAGCCTCCTGGCGGAGGGGCCAAAACCAGCTGCATGCAGCAGATGTCGTACCCCGCAGTTCCAAACCCCACCCATCCGTCTCCTTTGGACTCCGACGCGCTGCGAAAAAGTGCAGCATCGCTATCTGGCCATCGCTCGGGCGTCCATTCCCTGTGTTTTTTTCGGTTTCGTGCGTGGTTTTTTCGCCAGATGATCAAGAATGCTCCTCGATGGTCCTCGCCGACGGAAAAAAGCACACGTCCGAGCTCACGTCCAGGGCAAAGACCCCCTGCCTCTCTGCTGCACGTCTCGAGCCAGACCGCTCTGTGCTTCTCCCAGGTGCCCGCCGCCGGTCCCGAACGCCAGGTGGCGCCCAGATCTCGGAGCGGGCTGCATCCCCGATGCATCGGCGTGCACCGCACCGCACCGCAGACTCGTCGCCGATGTGCGGCGCGATCCTCCGACCCGGTGAGCGCTGGTCCCGCTTGGGCGACCCCCCGCAGCGCGGGCGCACCGGCGACGCGGCGCAGTCCTCCGACCCCGTCCACGCTGACCCCCTTTGGGAGGCCTGGACAATCCCCCCTCTCGTCCCCCCTCTCGACCCCATACCGCTACTCCCACGATCTCTCCCAAGGTGCGTTGGGACCAGGACTTCGAGGCGAATCCAGCGGTGGCGACGAGGCCTCCCAGAGGTCCCCCCCAAAAAAGTCGGGGCGAGGCTGGCGAGATCGGTGCCTATTCGGCGTTTCGACTTTGGGCGGAAGGGGGGCGGGGGGAGGAGGGGGGAGGGCTGGCTCCAGACCTCCGCTTACTGCGACTGTTTGCAACAGTGCGTCCTGTGGGGGAGACTCCACCTGCGTGAAACGGGCTTTTTTGATCCGCGGGTCGAGAGCGCACCTCTTCCGGTCGAAGCTAAGCGGGCCGCGCGAAGCTTGAATGAATCAGAGATGGGGGAGGACAGCGGCGTGAAACAGGCGCCCACAACAGTCAAGATCTACTCCATGGTGGGGGGAGGTGTCGGTGGGGCGTGTATTCCACGGATATCAGCCTTGCACTTCGAGATACCATCCAGATATAGCTGGTTCCAAATGTGTGTGCTCAAACTGATGCTGGAACCACTGGCGGCTGTTGTGCTCGAAAGAGCTCGGGATAAGCCACTGATAAACGTAAGATATCAACTGACAAGTACAAGATATCGGAAAGAGCGCGTTCTACCGCTGCTGGCGGAAAACCGGGGGGGGTCACTACCGGTTCGAACCCCTCCCCTCCCCCCCCCCCCTCCGGAAAACAGGGGGGGTCACTACCGGTTCGAACCCCCCCCCCCCCCCCCCCCAGCTCATCATGAAAAGGGGGGGGGTCACTACCGGTTCGAACCCCCCCCCCCCTCGAAAACCGAGTGGGGGTGCGGACAGTGGTGGGGACGGTGTTGGTGGGGACAGTGGTGAGGGGACAGCGGGACAGTGGTGGGGACAGTGGGGGGACAGTGGGACAGCGGTGGGGACGGTAGTGGTGGGGACAGTGGTGGGGACAATGGTGGGAACAGGGGGGACAGTGGACAGTGGTGGGAACGGTGGTGGTGGGGACAGTGGTGTGGGGACAGTGGGAATGAGGTGGAAACACTGGGACAGTGGAGGGTACAATGGTGGTGGGGACACTGGTAAAGGCGTCGGCGAGGACGGCGGTGGGACAATGGGACAGAGGTACAGTGGGGACAGTGGTGGGGACAGTGGGGACAGTGGTGGGAACAGTGGGACAGCTCAGTGGGACAGCGGAGGAGTCAGTGGGACAGTGGGGACAGTGGGGATAGGCAGTGGTTGGGTCCGTGGAGACAGTGGGGAGAGTGGAACCGTGGTGGGAACAGTTGTGGGAACAGTGGGGACAGTGCGACAGTGGTGGGGGCATTGGTGGGGACAATAGGGACGGTGGTGGAACCAGTGGGGACAGTGGTGGTGAGGACAGTGGTGCTGGGAACAACAGTGGGGGATCTGATGCGAGCGGTGGTAGGGACCGGGAGTCGTTTGCTGGCGGTGCGTGGGGGGGGGGTGGGGTCGAACCGGTAGTGACCCCCCTCCGGTTTTCGAGGGGGGGGGGGGGGGTTTCCAACCGGTAGTGACCCCCCCGGTTTTCGGGATTCGGAGGGGGGGGGGGGGAGGAGGGGTTCGAAACGGTAGTGACCACACGGTTTCGGAGGGGGGGGGGGGGAGGGGTTAGGGAGGGGGGGGGTTTTGCCGGGAGGAGGGAGGGGGGGTGGGGGGGGGGAGGGTTCCAGCAGGGGGGGGGGATTTTCGGAGGGGGGGTGGGGGGGAGACCCCCGGGTTCCGGAGGAAAAGGTTGGCAATTTTCCACAGTAAAGCGGCGGTGGATCACGCTCTCTCAGATATCGAGAAGGTGTTTATACACTGTCACGCGTGGGGTCCCCCTGAGCTTCGGACCAAAGTAGAACTATCACCACAACTGGCCAGGCGGTTGGCACTAAGCCAGACGGTTGCGGGAAGCAGGGCGGTATGTGGCACGTGCTGTTTGTTGCGTTATGGGGTCAAGAACCTCTGACCCAAAATCTAACTTACAACCTTAGATTCACAGGAGGGAGGGGGGGGGGCGAGGGCCCGCGCCGAGATTTCGGTGGAGATTTGGCTTGGAGATTTCGCCAGGGGGATCTGCTTTGGAGATCTGAGGGGGAAGCACTGCGACCGGAGATTCCGGGGAAGTTTTTCGCAAGATTTTTGACCAGAATCGTCTCGGACATGTTATCAAGACTCCCCGATCTAAGACCAGTGGTGCCCCCCCCCCTTGTTTTGCCCGAGGGGGGGGCACGCTAGTCGACGCTAAATCGACGCTAACCGACGCCAGTTGACGGTAAATCGACGCTAACCGACGCCAAATCGGCGCTACCTCATCGATTCCCCAGACGCTAATCGCGACGCCAGGGACGGAATTAGCAGGGTACACCAGGCTCCCGTGCTCTGCTACCGAACCCCCCTGGCACTGCCCGAAAGTCGGGCCGGGCGAAAGAGGAGGATAGCAAGGGGGGGGGTTTGAGACTCAGCTCACGCAGCTGATTTTCCCGGCGCCTCCCGGCGTCGGAGGCGGCCATGCATCGAGGAATGGGCCCCTCGGCGGGGCCGAAACCAGCTGCATGCAGCAGATTTCGCAACCCCAGACCCCCGACGTCATGATCTTTTCATGACGTCGACCCCCAGAGGTCTCGACCCATTCCCCAGGAGCAGTCATTCATCCTGAGTCGTTGTTTCACGCTCCCGAGGCCTGATAAGGGCCCCCAGAGGCCGAAAATAGCGACAAACCTCCCGTCGTGATTTTTGTCACGACTCGACGGGGTTTAGGACCCCCCCTTTCCCTATCCCCCCCTTGCGTCCCGCCCGAGAAGGGGGGGGGCCGGGCCGGCCCGGGGGGGGGCGCAGCGCCGAGGCGCCGCGGGGGCCCGGCGGCCTCCCTGCGAGGCGGAGGCGGGCGGCGGGCTGCCGCCGGGCGGGCCGGCGCGCCGCGGGCGCGGCAGGCGGCGCCCGCAGCGCGCCGCTGCGGCCGCCCGGGCCCGCCGGGCTCGCGCCGCGAGGGCGTCC